TTGAAAGTCTCTCCTTGAAGGTGTGTGTGCGTGTGTTTGTGTGTGTGTGTGTGTGTGTGTGCAGACACAAACATTGGCGCCTTCGAGAAACGGGTGATGTGATCAGAAGGGACCAGCCCCGGAGGACCCAGTGGGCGGGCCTCTGACAACCCCCCAGAAACCACAGAGGAGGAGGAGTGGTCACACAGTCTCCGAGCTGAAAGGACTCTCAAAGGCCACGTAATCCAGTTATTTACAAGCTCTTGTAAGTGCAGATTCTTTTGTTCCAATGAAATCTTACCCAGAAGATTTATAGAAAAGCTGAGATGTGCTTATAAACCCGGGAGGCGGAGCCTAGAGCCTAACCCAGGCTTGCCCCATCCTCTGGCCCCCAGCAGCCCTTTGCAAAGGATCCAGGGAACCCCTGTGTTTCCAGAGGGACCCATTGGAAAACCACTGTTCTCGTCCAACCTCCTCCTTTTATCACTGGGGGAAGGAAGCCCAGAGATGCTCCCTGACTTCCCTTAGCTCACACAGCAGATCAACAGCCTAGGCCTTGTCTTTTCAACAAGGTTTCCATGGTGACACCCCGGGTCCTCTCATGAACTGCCTTTTGTTCCTCCAGAGTATGTGAGTCTGTTTGTATTTGTATGTTTGTACACATGCCCAGTGTTCTCCAGAGAAACCTAATCAACCAGTCCCTGCTCTTCATTCAAAGCTTGGAGCTGGCAGTTTGGACACAGAGCCTCCACTGCCCCAGAGGCCAGAGGTCCAGGAAGGCAGAGGGTGGCGATTGCGGTCTGAGGAGGGTTTGGGACACAAGGGATGTCACAGGCCAAATTAGGTCAAGTGACTGCTCTTCACAAGCAAGTACAGGCAGTGCCCAGGTTCTGAACGTCCCAGTTACCCACAACAAGTGGTTATAAACCTGCTCACAGAAAGCCTATTCTATTAAAAGTTTGTGGTAAATGCAATGGTTCATAATTAACAAATGGGTGCCACATAGCTCACATGCATCAAAACACTACTCCGACTATTGTACGATTCTATCAGAGATGTTTGCAGGGACCCGAACGTGTTTCTGGAAAGCTTTGTATGCATGGAAAGGGACAGTCTCTACTAAAACAAACAGGCATCAGATACAAACTCTACCCAACTGTTCTGATTCCAATTAAACTCAACTGCAAGACAGTCTTCAGTACGGAACCCGCTCGTGATTTGTGCCCGTCCTGCGGAGAGGAGATCGGGCCTCGGCAAGGCTCCTGAGAGCTGGTATCCGAGCCAAGCCCCCTGGCCTATAAGCTTTGGACCCAGGACTGACTGATAAACCGCACTGCTTCTCCATCCGTGAAATGGGGGAGGCTCGAGGGAAAAAGACCACCTGAAGCTCATGACACTCAGAGATGCCTGTGAGTGCCTGGAGTGACAAACCGGAGACAGTCCATGCTGGGCTCTGCAGATGGCTGCTCCTCTCCCGGCCAGCAGGGGGCCATTGGAAGGCGTAATCCCACGGCTAACCGAGGGTGTGTTGCGGTGCAAGAGGAGGGTGGCAGATCTGCCAGTTGCTGTCTGGTCGGTTTCCACTCAGGGGCCACAGCGTGTGTGGCAGAGTTGTGTGCCATGGGTTGTCAACGGCAGGCTTGTTTTGTTTTGTTTTGAAAAAGTGGATCTCTGCCCTTTCTCCCAACACACCTCTGACTGGACTTGAACCTCCAATCTTTCAGGGAGCAGCTGGGCATGTTAAGCTGTGAACCTGTGTGATCTGACAGCAGCCTGTGGCTATATATATATAAATTATATATGTAATTTCAAAACTACCAGTTGTTCCTTGGGTGAAAAATGAGGGTTTCTACTCCTGTACAGTGTTACAGTTCTCAGAAACCCACAGGGCAATTCTACTCAGTCCGATAGGGTCCTATAGGGTCCCTATGGGTCAGAATCGACTCGATGGCAATGAGCTTTTTGTGCCAGGCTGCTCCTGTGGGTTTCCTAGACGGTAACTCTATCAGGGAGTAGAAAGCCTCATCTTCCTTCTGAGCAGCAGCTGGTGGTTTCGAACTGCTGACCCTGTGGTTAGCAGCTCGATAATTTACATTTGACCCATGAGGCTCAGACAGGCTAGTGAAGTTGTTCAAGGTGACACAACCAGAACATAGTGGCCCTGGGATTTGAACACAAGGCATGGAGTTGAAAAACCCACGTCCCTAACCACTGCCCCACACTGCCCTTCTTCCTGGCCACGAGGGGACTGGGAGAATGGCCCAGGATCCGGCCGGCCAGACAGGAAAGAGGCAGCAGAGACCGGCACTGGGGCTGGATTTCCGAGCTCCCCGTGCGTGCAGTTTGCAGCACAGACTTTCTGAGCAAACGCACGAACCCGCAACACTCCCAGAGGCAAGCATTCCCGGCGTGTTTACTGAGGAACCCCAGGGCTGGGGCCAGGGGTGGTGAGCTGGGCACAAAAGCAGGATAAAGGTAAACTTTCTGCATGTGAGAATCCTTTCCCCCCTTGGAGGAGCGGAGGGAGCCGGAGCCGAGCGAGGAGCCGTGCCACACTGTATGTCACCGTCATCAAAGGGGCTGTGCATAAACCTGAAAAACCAAACGGACCTGTCTGTAGGTGTTGCTTATAGCACAAGGCTACAGGGGCCTTTATTTCCACGGTTCCTTCACTGGTGCGGGGAGCGCCTGCCTCCTCCTGCCTTGAAAGCCTGCCTCTGCTTTGGACCTAGTCACCGCTGTGCTCACGTAAGCGCCTTTTCTTTGCTCGTTCCGATGGATTGTCAGGGGTGTCAGGGCTCCGAGGCTGCTCGGGCTGGGGCCTGGGTCTGCACCGTGTCCCCAGATTCAGACCACAGCCCTTCAGCAGCCTCCTCCAGGCATCTGCCACCCGGGAACCGCTGGGCTTGGATTTAATGGTTTACCTGCCAGAAATGTTTTTGCCTTCTCCTGCTGCGTGGCCACCCACCCCACTCCTCACCGGCCCCCACTTGCTGAGGATCACTTAACTCAACCGAGGGGGGACTTAACTAAACAGAGGCACTCTGCCCTTCAGGAAGGGAAGTTGGGTTTCTCCCTCGCTCTTTCTCTCTCTCTCTGTCTCTCTCACACACACATATACACATGCACACATACATACACAGCACACACACAACTGCTTCAGTGAGAATCCCCCCACCCAGCCCCTAGATGAACTCATGTTCCAATCGGCATGCTTTGGTAATTCCTTGGCACGGAGATCTTATATTGCTTGGGGCACTTTTTTGAAAAACTCATCTGTACAAAATCGTTTAAAATAAACCCATTTTGCGCTCTCCCACCACCTCAAAATAGAACGCTTCCAGAAAAGTAATGGGTAGGGTTTTTCCACTGTATTCTCAGACCTGGTCAGACTGCCTGGGGAGGACGCCTCACCATGGTTCGCCCCCTGCTGGCAGCCATTGGGAGCACATGCTCCCTTCCCAAACTGCAGCTGGAGAAGCCTCATTGGGGTGTGTGCTGAGGGTTTGACCCGCTGGAAAAGGGATGTCAGACACCTCTGGGGACAGCCTCCTCGTTTTAAACACGAGGAGAACTGGGGCCTGAACAGTTCAATGATGGAAGAGGACAGGCCGGGGCGCTCGTCCAGTTTCAAGGCTCCGGGCTTAATGATTTTGCCCCACCTTCTCTGGAGATATTTTCCCTGCTCCAGGTGTTCTTGTCGGCGTCTCCACATCAGGGTTATCTGCCCATCTCAGTAGTCACCAGAGCAGCAGGCTTTTTTAGCTAAACTCGAGACTGTCTTTTCCTTCTGGGACAGACATACTGTATGCACTGCCCTGGCCTCCTTCATACTCATGCAGTCTGACTTATGTGCTTAAAAATTCTCATTTTACAAATGAAGAAACCAGAACTCGGAGCGAGCGGTGAATTTTCCTCGGCCACACCTTGTGCAAAAAAATCAAAAGAATTTCAGCCGACTTCCTAGTCAAGGATCTATCTGCCCCACATCACTTGCCTCGTGGGCTTTACCAAACCCCAACGTGTCCAATCCAGAAGGAATCCTGGTGGCACAGGTGGTTGGTCCTGGAGCTGCTAATCCAAAGGTCATCGGTTTGAACCCACCAGCTGCTCCATTGGAGGGAGAATAAAATGGGGCAATCTCCTTCCATCAAGATTTACAGCCGTGGAAATGCTCCCGGCAGTTCTGCCCTGTCCTGAAACCTCCCTAGGAGTCGGGATCTGCTGGACAGGAAGAGATGTGGTTTGGGATTTGTTTGGTGTGTGATCCACAGCGGGTATATTTTGCATCACAGCCAAGCCCACCATCAGCTCTCTCTGGCACACCCTCCAGGGGTCCCTGTGGCACCTGCAGGCAGGTAGGAAGAGAGACGAAAACAGCTTCAGACACACAACAAGAAAACCTCCCTTGAACAAGCTCCTGGGAAGCAAGGCGGGCACTCATTCTATGAGCCCTCTGCCCGTCTGTTCCCACGCTGCTCTGGTTTCTTCCAGAGGAACAAACACTCAAGCACCCGAACCCACAATCCTCCGTGAGCAGCAAGTGTGGAAATGCTCCTCGGTGTTCCCCCATGTGTCCTTTCTCAGCGAGGTCCCAAGGGGGAGAAGCAGACCCTGCCTTGCCCATGGGGCTTTTGACCAGTGGACATGCCAGTGCAGAGCCCACACTACCACCCTCCCCCACCCCGCATCCCCTCCAAAATGCCGCTCCGATGGCGGGATCGGGGAAGGCCTCCCTTGGCCTGATTCCCCCTGCTCTGTGACCTCATGATCTTATTCTGCCCCGTGATATCTTGGTGCCTGAACGACCAATGTGTAGATGCTTAATTAGGTGGATTTTTGGTCACCTGCCCAGAGTGAAGTTGATGATCCAGGGTCAGAAAGGAATTTTCCTCCTCTTACAAACTGGCCAAGGCTGGGTGGTTAGCCCCGGCCCCTCTCTCTCTGGAAGGCTGGGCAGAGATACCTCGGTGCTCAGGCCATGGGCAGAGTACCTACGACTGCTGCCTCTGACCTCCTCGGGGGCAAGAAGCCCACAGGCCTGCCCCCTCTGACTGGGCAGACCCCTCCCTGTGCACAACTGGTGAGTGAGCAGCTCTGAGCAGGGCAAGGAGGGCACTGGAGGCATCCAGAGACCTCGAGCCTCTATGCCACCCTGCCTCATTCCCAAAAGATATCCGGAGCCCACCTTGCCTGTGGAAGAGATCCACGGGATCCCTCCCCCTGTGAGCTTTGACCGGGCCCCTCCTCTATCTACCAGGCAGCTGGAAAGGTGCCTACCTTTTGAGGCGGGTGGGAGGGGATGGATTCTAGAGCCTTGAGTCTGTTGATGGACAGTGAGTGAGGCCCCAGAGAGCCAAAGGCCTGGCTAGCTTGGGGACAGACCCCCACCCTCCCAAAATTTGTACACCCAACAAGGTAGGTGGCAGCTGAAGGAAGGAAAGGGGAACGGGGGCTTTCTCGGAGCGGAAAGATTCATCTGTGCATGTGTGGTGGGATCTCGCTCTGCTTTGGGGTGCTTGCTTGTCCATGTCTCCCCAAAGCGTCAGGGGTGGGCACACGGATGTGTGAGCGTTGGTGGCCTGTGAGGCTGCGTGTTCTGTGGGCAGACTTTTGGAGGTGTTGCCCCACCTCATGGGTGGGCGCCTATTGAGAGCCGTGTGGCGTGGGCAGGTCTTCAAGTCCGCCTCATTGTCTAGTAACAAATGAAGAATGGGGGGGGTGGCGCTTAAAGAGATGTGAAGAGCCAAATCATGACACCCCCCACCCAGACTGGGGCACTCCGCTAACAATAAGCCAGGTGGCCCCTTGAGAAAAGAAAGGTGAGAATTAGAACAGCCAGCCAGGGACCCTTCCAAGATAGCCCCTTGTGGTCCTGCAGCCGACTGGAGGTCTAACCCAGTGCTTCCCAGCCTTGTTTCCTGATGATCCCCCGAAAGGAGGCTCTGGGGCCCCGGGTGGCCTGAGCAGTTAAGTGCTCAGCTCCTAATCAAAAAGCTGGGGGTGCAAACCCACCCTGAGGTGCCTCAGAAGAAAGGCCTGGCAATCTAGTTCAGAAAGACCACAGCCATTGAGGCCCAGGGGCGTGCAGTCCTCTTCTGACGCACACAGGGCTGCTAGGAACCCACCGCGGCTTGACGGCAGCGGGCGTTGCCTGTCATTTTTGCAGGAGTCCCTGTACCTGTGTTGTCCCGAATCATCTCTTGCTGTAGTAAGGTGACCAGATGTCCCGCTTTTGGCGGGACAGTCCCGATTTTGAACAATTTCTCCTGCGTCCCGCGGCATTTTTAAAAAGTCCCGATTTTTTGGAAAGAATGCATGACAAGCTAGGGTATACAGTTTTCGGCTGCCATGTGGCTATTTCGCCAGGATATGAGTTTTATCAGTGGTGTCCCGCTTTTGTCCCGCTTTACCAATGTTACAATCTGGTTGCCTTACAAAGACTAATGCCATAGATGCACTCTATGTCCATGGTTGCATCGCAAAACATCCTCATCACTTCTGAGATGTTGTTGCCATCAGGGAGATAGTACCAGCTAGTGAGGATGGGCAGTCTACCCATGCCTGCATATCTCTGGGCCTCAGCACCCCAAGAAATGCAGCCCCTAATGGCCGTGCCCCCCCCCCCCCCCCCCCCCCCCCCCCCACACACACTCTCTCTCTCTCTCTCTCTCTCTCTCTCTCTCTCTCTCTCTCTCTCTCCTTCCATTAAGAGCTAAACTGTTCAATGATTCCAAGGACCTTCCAGGGCCTGAAGCGGAGGGCCCGCAGAACACAAGGCAGGCATTCTTCCCAAGCCCTCACGCCTCGCGCGGCTAAGTGGCCAAGGCCCTTGGTGGGGGGGTCTGAGTCAATAATGCCCTCATCGGCTGCCGTAGCCAAGGAAGAAGAAAGAAAGCCCTCCGCCTCCATAAAAGACGTTTTCCCAACTCGACAGAAACAGAGAAGGGAACTAGCACCCTGAGGGAGCCCTTTAAGGAAACCTAATGGCTACAATGTGTCACGGAAGGAGTCGCCCAAGGGAGTCAGACCCAGCAGTTCTGTGTCGCCCTGGGGAGCACGCAGCCCTCGTGAGAGGACTGGGCAGGGATCGGGGGAGGGAAGGTAACACAGCCCAAAAAAGGAAGGCAGCGCCAGCTTGCCGACACTTGGTCCTCGTGTTTCATGTCATCATTTCCCGGCGATCAAAGGATGGGGGGAGCTGATTGTCAGGCAACACTGAGGAAGAGGCCACTCCTACAGTCAATGCTGCTTTCGGAAAAACTATGGCTGGCCTTGAAGATGCGGGACCGTTGTCTGTTTTCTTCCGTTTGGGGTCTCCACACCAAGCCTGCCATCCTGTGCCTCAGTTTCCTGAGGAAGAATTTCCAGAGGAGGATGGTGGGGGGTTACCCTTAGCCCTGACAAGGAGAGCTCTTATGTAATTCAGTCCTGTGAGCAGAAGTGACTATGGACCCCAGGGTCCTTTGCTTCCTCAGGGCCTCCAGCCCCGACCCCTCTACATCCTGCCTCCCGCTCAGGATCTAAAACCTTCTGATCCTGGGAAAATCCTGAGCCCAGGCCCAGGCGGCCCTGCCCTCCGGCTGAGATGGCTCCCGGGAGACCGGACGGCATGGTAACCTGCCGGGCTGTGGAAGTCTGGCTGTTCTTGGGGGTGTAACCCAGAAAGGGTACCTAAGTTCGAGGATTCAAATTGGGTGATTCTTTTATGCCAAGGAGCACTGTCCTCTGCAGGTCAGATGAGGGTGGTGAAGATCATGGTCAAGACTTGCATCTGAGGGCCGCTTGAGCTTAGCAAACGGCCCCAACAAAATTGGTCTTTGGTTCTGAAGTCACACAAGCCCAGCCTCCCATCATCCTGAGCCCCCAGGTGCTCTCTTCAGTGGGTCTAGGATGGGCTGTGAGCATCTTTAGGAAGGGATGCCGCAGGGTCGAGAGTCAGGAAACCTGGAGCCTGCCTACAGTCAGCACACTCCACTACTAAGTTCCAGTCCACCCAGAAGTGCCTCGGAAGGAAATCGACTTCCAACAATCAGCCGCTGAAAACCCCTAGCACGCAGGGTCGCCAGGAGACAGAGTCCACTGCCCAGCAAGTGGTTCTGCGAAACTTAGTTCTGCTTCCCATTGGTTGGGTGGTCTTCAGCAAGTTACACAAGTTCCCCGGGCCCCACCTCCTCAGCTGTCAAGTGGAGTGGGCGAGGAGGCTGGACAAACTCAGTGTCTTCCGACCACAGTCATCACCCCGCTGGCCCATGAGATGAGTCTGGTCAGGGGGAGGGAAATGTTTTCTTGAAAGGGACGGGTAATCAATATTCTAGGATGTGTAAGCCCAAATCCAGGCTATTATATAAGCGCTTATATAACCGGTTAAGATGTACCTTTTAAAATGTGGACTCACTTTAGCTGGGGATGTGTACAAGAGCTGGTGGCGGGCCAGATTCGGCCCACAGGTTTTAGCTTGCTTCATGGGTGAAGAGCTGTTATTTCGATCCTTACCTATGTATCTTCTTGTATCCTAAAAGGATCCTTTTAAATAAACATACAGTTAGGTTGAGACAAAAAGGAATTGTTGCGTTGGTTGGGTTGGAGGCTGTTGTTGTTTTTTACAATCTGAAGTGGATCATAGTGCTCATAGTCTATGGATCGATTGACAGTGATCATGGTAGCAGGCAAATGCCTAACGTTTGAGAAAACGTTGGACTGGATGATTGCCAGTCCCATCTTAAGACCCCGTGCTTCCTTTAATATCCCTAGGCAAGTCCTTGAGTCGGGCCAATGGTGGATGTGTTTGACTGATAAGTTTAGTGGTTCAAGTCCATGCAGTGGCTCTTTGGGGGTCACTACCTGGTGCTTTACCTCTGCAAAAACCCATCGTGGAAACCCTTTGGGCACGGCTCCACTCTGACATATGTCGGGGTCCCAGTAGGTCTGAATCTACTCGGCAGCAGCCGGTTTCAATGGTTAAAATCCCCAGAACCTTATACATATCGACTGTGAGACTGACCCACTGTGTCCTTTATGGCAAACGGGGATAGAGTCATCTGATCGCACGCTGTGACTTATAAGAAGGAAAGAAAAAGATAATTTGGGTAAGGACTTTTTAATCTACCAGACAGGGTCTTTTCTGATGAATGGGTTAAGGGTGGTTTGTAGACAGGAGTTCTGACGGTGCTTCCAGTGTAATGTGACCGGAGTTTGGGTGGCCAGGTACAGGAGGCAGGAAAGAGGAGATCTGATCCTGAGGATGAGTGTGAGTGGGGGGAAGGGGTGTCTCAGTTCTAAAGCCCCTGCCTGACACCGTCCCCACCCCACCTCTGCCCCTTGCCATTGTGCACCAGGAGGGGGGCTAAAACACAGTGATTAGAATCAGGGGCTTTTGAAACAGACAAGCCTCGGTGACCACCTTGATGGCTGACGTGATACCTGGAATCTCAGCGCCTCCACCCTCGTCTGTTTAAGAGGCTCCCACCAGCACCTGGCCCAGAGCCGCTGTTCTGAGGAAAACTCCAAGGAGGAGCATGAAGTAATAAAGTAATTAGCGAGGAGCCCAAAGCCAGGGAAGTGCTCAATTGGTGCTAGTTATAATTATCCTCCGCCCCTTAGCAGCTGGTTTTCCTGAACCGTGGCAGCTTGCAGGTTGCTGTCATTCTGGAATGTTGGAAGCTCTGTCACCAGTATTTCAAATACCAGCAGGGTCACCCAAGGTGAACAGGTTTCAGCAGAGCCTTCTGATGAAGAACAGACTACGAGGAAGGAATTGGAGGAGGAGGAAGTTGCCACCCGGAGCTTCAGCCGGCGGGGCAATATTTCCTTGGGTGGTGCGTAGGGTCGCTACCACTACCATCATGACCCTCTCTCGTCTACAACCCTGCACCGACACGGACGGAGGATTTCGGAATCCTTCCTTCTGGTGTCAGGAAGGTGATACGATGTGTGTGCTGCCGAACACTGGATATACTCACGGGATAGAGTGTACATGCTCTACATACCATATATACTCCAGTATAAACCGACCCGAATATCAGCGGAAACACCTAATTTTACCACCAGAGCTGCATTAAAAATGTGCCGAAAGACTCAGCTTATACACGAGTATAAATGCTTCCTACCTGTGAATATTTCTGTACAATGGCTATTGACTAAGTAGAATAGAAAAAAAACTATAATTAGCTCACCTCAATTCAAGACTGCTTACTCCCCATTATTTAAGTTTGCACCAGTAAATTCATTCATTCATTCATTCTCTCTCTCTCTCTCTTCCTCGCCTTTTGGAGCTTTTGGTTTTCGGAATTATGCTTAAGTGTCTTTCCTAAATAGTCACCCGACCCCGTTTTCAGAAGCACCCTGTGCATGCCCCAGCATTTGAGCGGTTAAGTCCACGTGAACATGCACACTAAATGCAGAGGCAACCCAACGTAGAAAGAGTCTCAGTCCTCAAACCCCGGCTCAGCCACTCACCAGCTGTGTTCCTTGGGCAATGACCTTCTGCTCGCTGTGCCATCTCTCCACTGAACGTAGACACGCTGAGATGGGTAGCACTGGGCGGGGCCCCTGGCTCATCGCTGCAGCAGTCCAGGATCTGCAGCCCTTCCACAACCCAAGCCTCACCCTGCCAGGGGCTTCTGTCCGGTGCCAACTACCCCACAGCCCCTCACAGCCTCTTCTCCTGTTGCAGGGTGATGTTGGACTCCGTGACCCACAGCACCTTCCTGCCCAACACATCCTTCTGTGACCCCCTGATGTCGTGGACAGACCTGTTTAGCAGTGAGGAATATTACCCAGCCTTTGAGCATCAAACAGGTGTGTGCATCCGGAGAGTCTGTCTGAGGGCAGCTGGGAGGGATTGGGCAGGAGTCTGGAAACATCAGCCCTCATCAGGGTCTAGGGCAAGGCGTCGGGGACAGGGCTGAGCCAGCAAGGGGTGGGGGTGGGGGTGGGCAGCCTCTGCAGAGAGGACACCAGAACCTTCTTGTCAACCTCGTCCCTGCTCCGTGGGCCCAGGCCATCCAGCTAACCTTTCCGCGTCTCATTTTAGCCAGCAGGTAAAATGAGGGAATCATGTCAATCCCTTAAGATGGCACAAACAGTTAAGCACTCAGCTACTGGCCGAGAGTTGGCAGTCAAACTCACCCAGAGGTGCCTCAGAAGACAGGCCTGGCAAGCTGTTTCCCAAAGGTCACCGGCTTGAAACCCCTACAGAGCAGTTCTTCTCTGCACCGGCGGGTTTGCCGCGAGTCTGAATCAGGTCATGGGTTGTAATGCCATTGAAAAGAGACACAGTGGGTGCATCTCCCTTAGCCCCGAGCCCTGGACCCTGTGAGCGCCCCATGACAGACCGGGGTGTCACTAATATTCCCTGAGCATGAGCTATGTGCCAGACACGCGCCAAGTACCCATGTCATCCTCACAGAAGCCCCGTGAGAGAGGGACAAGTATCCTCATTTTAGAGATGAAGAAGCAGGGGCACAGAGCAACTGAGTCACTGTCATGGGATTACACAGCTAAAGTCTAAGGCAAGCTGAAGGAGCTCTGGTGTGCAGGGGTCAAAGCCTCCGGCTACTGACCAAAAGGCAGTCCTTTCAAACCGGCCAGCCTGTGCCCTGAGAGAAAGAGGTGGCAGTCTGCTTCTGTACACATCTCCCCTCTGCCCTGGAGGGTCACTGTAGTTGGAATAGGCCCCGTGGCAGTGGATAAGGCACGTTGGCTTCAGCACCAGTGCGCTCAGAACTACCGTATATACTCGAGTATAAGCCGACCCGAATTCCTGTCAAGGCACCTAATTTTACCACAAAAACTGCATTAAACATGTGCTGGACTTATATGCAGCACTAGACATGGACACCTTACAAATGATGGCGGACTCTGGTTAGACATTATCCTGGATTATATGTTCTAGATTGCACATCACCTGTTATTGTTGGCCTCTGAGTGCCTGTCTCCTCCTCTCCAAAGCAGAGATGATAAGGGTCGCTGTGAGGACGGGCCAAACCTTGTCAGCGAGAGACCAACTGAGCTTTGCCTCGGAAGCCCTCAGTGGGTCTTTGGCCCCAAGGTGCTTGGGAGCATGCACCACTGCTGGGAATGGCAGGTGCACACCCAAAGTGATGAGGCAAGAGGCTAACCCAGCTGTCACTTGCCCAGGGCCTTAACCCTGAGCACCTGCGGCCTGGTGGAGCCCACAGGCATGCTCACAGGCAGGCCAAGCCTCCAAGAACAACGTGAGATGTCATCACACCAGGAAGCCCCGGCCTCCCAGGCCAGGGCTAGGGCTGCACAGGCAGGTGGGAGGTCATTACCCACTACAGCCACCACACACATGCACGACAGACAGGTAGGAGGTCATTACCCACTACAGCCACCACACACATGCATGACAGACAGATGGGAGGCCATTACCCACTACAGCCACCACACACATGCACGACAGACAGATGGGAGGCCATTACCCACTACAGCCACCACACACATGCACAACAGACAGATGGGAGGCCATTACCCACTACAGCCACCACACACATGCACGACAGACAGGTGGGAGGCCATTACCCACTACAGCCACCACACACATGCACGACAGCCTCCTTCCTCTGCCAAAGTACCCACCTTAGACTGGCAGCATACAGATAGGCTGGGACAGATCATAATTCCCCAGTAGCCCCTCACTTCCCCCAGATATGGAGACACGGACTTGCTCTCCTCCCCTCACTAGCTGCTGGTGGTGCTGGCCGTGGTGCTGAGGTGGCATCAAGTTAGTTCTGATTCACGACAGCTCTGTAAGACACAGGAGAACTGTCCCGTAAGGTTTCCAACGCCCTGTGTAATCTCGATGGGGACAGACTGCTGCGTCTTTCTCCCTTGGAGTGGCTGGTGGGTTTGAACCATCAGCCTTTCAGTTCTCAGCTGAGTGCTTAATCTTTGTGCCAGTGAGCCTTCCCCCTATTTGGTTGGGGAGCTAGCATTAAAGGAAAACGAAGTCCTTGCTGTCCCCTCCCCTCATCCCTATGGCCCAATCCCTGTCCTCACTGATGCAAAAGCCCCGGGCCTCTTCTAACCCAGACACACACACCCCATGGAGACTATCCCCTCTCTGCCATTTTGGGGTGGGGACCACTTAGCAGTCAGCCGGAGTGTCTGACCTGTGCTGTTGCTGGGCAGCAACTTCTGTGGTCGTCAAGGGTTGGGCGTTGGTGCCAACCACCTCCCAGGTGAAGTCTGGTTTTGACACTGCACCGCCTTCCCTTCTGGTGCCACCGTTGTCGCATCTGTGAATGGGGAGAAGAACGCCTGTCCCTCAGCTTGTGAGGAATCTGAGACGCGTTCATCGTGTGCACCATTTGGGCAGAGCTTGGCGCAGGGTGAGCAAAACGAAGCGCTTGCTCGAGAATAAAGGGTTACCAGAAGCGTGGCCCAGGGAGCTCAGAAAGCCCACGCAGCATTAGGAGAGGCGGCGCGACTCTTAATCCCAGACCACCACACTGCCACCACTGTCAGTTCGTTTCTAGGGTTTCATCCAGGAGCTCCTCTCCTGCCAGCCGACCTTGGAGAGACTAGCTACTCCCACCCCGGCTGATGGCCAGTAAATGTCCTCCAGGGGCCTCCAGGTGGCAGGCGGCATTTACGGAGGTGCCGGGCTTTGGGCCCGCCGTCTGGCTGCGCCAGGTTTCAGAAGAAGCTATGTGTCTGGGAGATGCGGTGGTTGAGATTGGGCATGAAGTCAGTCTGTCTTCCTGGGAGGAGGCACGTCTCTCCCAGCTTTCGTGTCCCGCCATGGGAGGAACACCCTGCCTTGGGGGACCTCCTGTCCTCCCGGGACAGGGGCGTTGCCACCCAGAGACAGGGCGTGACTGAGTTTCTGCAGAGGTCCCACTGAGGTGTGAGGTGTGAGTCAGGTCGGTCCCCTCTGGACATGACTGCAAACTCCCTCACTGGCTGCCAGGGCTCTCTCAGACGACTCTCCGAAGGGGCGGCTTTCTCTCAGGAACCGCCACCTGAAACCCAGGGCATCTCCCGGGGTCAGCCCCAAGGGGGGTGTCCTGCTGGTGTGGCTACCAAGCAGCTGTGTGACCTCCAGCAGGTGGCCGGTTGCTGCTCTCCTGGTGGCTCTGAGATCCACTTCGCAGAGCTATAATCACACCCCAAAACCACAATGTAAGATATGAAAATAATAATGATTTATAATTTCTCAAGGGTTCATGACGGAAGGAGGGCAAAGGAGGGAGGGGGGGAAATGAGCCCTGATACCAAGGGCTCAAGTAGAAAGAAAATGTTTTTTAAATGATGATGACAACATATGCACAAATGTGCTTAACACAATGGATGGATGGATGGCTGGATGGCTGGTGATAAGAGCTGTAAGAGTCCCCGATAAATGATTTTAAAAATGAAAGCCAAAAACCCAGACCCTCTGCCTGCAAGCTTGTTTCATTGGTTTGGAGCCAAAGCAACTGTGTGGGCCGAGGAGACCTGCTTCTTCTCAGGCTTCCGGAGCAGAGAGGAGCGGACAGCCTCTTCTTTCTCCATGGAGCTGCTGCCGGGTTCGAGCCACTGGCCTTTTGGTTAGCAGCACAACACAACCCACGCAGCGCAGCCCGCGCTCCTTCCCACAGTGTTTAGGTAAGTCCCCCTGCTCTGGCTAGGGGCTGACTGTAAAACAAAATCCAAACCCACCCCACGGCCATTGAGTGCATTCCGACTCACAGGCACCCTATAGGCTAGAGTCGAATTTCTCTTTAGAGTTTCTGAGATTGTACATCTTTTCAGGAGTAGACAGCCTCATCTTTCTCCTGAGGACCAGTTGGTAGATTTGAACTTCTGACTTTGTGGTATGCTTACCGGACAGCATCACTAGCGCCCCACTCATGCCTCCTGTTCACTTTTTTGTGTTGAACAAAAGCCACACAAGTCTCAATCCCACCCATTCCAATTCAGGACATTTGGCTGTATAGCTACTTGGAGACTCATGGGAGGGGGAGGGAAAAAGAAATGATGCATCTAGTCAATCATGTGACAGAAAAGGGAGGCATACTTCACCGATTTAGGAAAATCAGCTGTTTTCAAAAATGTTCCAACTGGCATTAGCTGGGCCCCACCAACTCTGTGCCTTGGTGTGCTCACTGCGCCGTGTGTCTGCCACCTGCTCTTTGAAGCAGGGCATCTGCTTGGCTGCACTGCAGAGTGGCGGTGGACAGTCACAGATGGCAAGCTGCTCGAGAATTTCATCAACGCATCCTGGCCTTCCCATCAGCAGTTTCATGCTGGACCATTTGTCAAAGTGGGGTGGGGGCATGTGTTTCACATGCATATGATTACTGAAAAAGCTTACTCCTTCCATCAAGTGGCCAGTAGGGCACCATGTGCCAAGTCATTGAGCACCCTGATATCATTTCTACTCCCGAAGCTCCACCCCTGCGCACTTGCATACCCGCACACTTGTATACCTGCACATGCACACATTATCCCCACCTATCCACATCACCCCAACATGCAGCGTCTTGTTTATATTTTGTCTGCAGCAACAACAAAAAAAGGTACTAGAGGGTTCCTGTCAAATCCCTCCGGGGCTACCCACAGGAGGGTGGAGCGACCATTGAGAAGGTGTGGCTCCAGCCCCCACTCCCCACAGCAGGACTCCTGGCTGCAGTATTTATCGGTAACGGTGGTTGTCCATGCTTGACAGTAGGCGCAAGAATACACCTCTGTGACCCGCTTCCAGCTGTGCCCGCTGACTCACCATCTGACCCTGAAAAAGGATGGGTGCTCTCCTCGGTCAAGAGTCTTGGCAGGTCTACTCTGTCCTATAG